TAGCTAAAAGCTAAGTGTACCTAAATAGCAGCTCACAAAATGGCTAGCCTAGACGAAGAAACCCACTTACAACTACTAACACCTGGCTTTTGTCTTCAGTGGGAAAGGGTACAATCAGCATTCATTCCTGGGTCAAATGACGGTGATGATAAAACTTTGACACCCAGGTGGACACATAAAAAGCCAGGAAGATTATTTATCATATTTTACAGTTTATGGGAACAACGTGCAACAGCAATTTACTTATTTGTATCGTTTCAAGATGCAAACAGTGAAGTGAAGACAGCTCCTGAATTATCAGCCAAATAATGTTAACATGCTCTCAGTGACAATGATACTATGTGGATGTTATGCAGGTACCTATAATGTTTATCGTGTTCACCGTTTGAGTTTAGCGTTTTAACATCCTAACTTTTGCTCATTAGCATTGCACATTAAACTGAGGCTGAGAATCTCACTTATTTTGCAGCGATTTGGTCATAAACCAAAGCATTGGACACATTCTAATTTTGGCATAGGAGGAAGTCATAGGATCACCAAAGTGAGCAGGATTCATCCTCTGGGCACCATGAATACCTGTACAAAATGCCATGGTTATCCATCCTGAAGTTGTAAAAGATATTTCATTCTGGACCATAGGCTGACCAACCGAAAGACAAACATTGCCGTCCCCAGAGCTCTCTTGCCAGTGTGGTCAAAGAGTAGATAAGTCAAGCACGTGTTTTGCATACTGTCATGGACACAATGTGCCAGACTCTGGAATATGTTTGACTCTTTCAATAAATGAAAAACAACTCTTACAGGTTACAGGTACATGTACACATACATGTCAGTTACCGAGCTATGTAACTCCGGTTGATTTAATCCTCTCAGGGTGATGCTATCACATCACACTGAGCTCCTCTTTAATGTTGAGGGTCTCGGCTCTTCCTTATCAAACATCTGGTGACGTAATACAACCCTCTGCAGGTCAGTTAGGAGCAAAAACTTCATGTATATTGGCCTCCGGATGTGCTGATTCACAGTCCATTTAACGTTCCTCCATGTAAGCTTAAAATCTGAAAATTGTTCTTCTAAATTCTTCTAAACCATAACCACTGAGATGGGGACAGTAGTAAAATGACACAGATCCAGCAGACTGCATCTTTAATGAAATGTCACCTGATATGACAGAGCTGCTGCAGAGTCACTTCTGCCCCCTGGTGGCTGTCTCTGACACACACAGCTGGGTTCAGTCTGACTCTGAGAGCTCGGTGAACACTGTCGTCCAAAGTGGATCCTTGTTCCTCTGCAACCTGAGGCCCATCTGAGGGGCCGGGCGAGTACAACGCAGCCTGGTTTCAGCTTCAGCAGTGACCAGCAGCTCGCCCATGTTCACTAAACTGGCCTACAAAGGAGTGAACTTGTTTTTTATCTCTGTGTGGGTGCTTCAGCAACATTCACTTCCTGACCAGGACAGGATAGGAGTGTTTATCTACGGCCCCTGACCCCCACCTCCAAACTCCAAGTCCCTCCTCGACAAACACAAACTCATCATCAGCCAGCACTCACTCACTCACTCAGTCAGTCTGTGCGCTGTAAGGCTGATAAGGTGCTGCCCCCAGCTGTACATGACAAAGTAATATTCTGCAGGACACCTGTCAAAACGCACTCTATGATATTTTCTAAACATAACTTTTAAACACATCTTACATATAAAGCTTTATATATTAAAGCCTATGAAAACAGCAGGAGAGGAAATTAACTACATTTACTCAAGTATAGTACTTCAGTAGAGTTCTGAGGTGATTGTATTTGAATAAAGTATTTCCATTTGATACCACTCTATTTCAATTAACACTTCATGTGATGTGTTGAATAATGTATCTTAGAGTTTGACACTAGAAGGATGTTTTCACATCTTTATTTTCAAGGATTTTAATATAGATTTTATTTAATTTTTTTAGCTCAAACAAATGAGTCACACATTACTGTTCCGAGCAGACTATTATATGCCTCAATACGTGTCTGCAGGGGATCTTTAATGTAGAACTTTTAATGTAATGGTATTTTTAAATTGTGGTCTTGCGACCTTTAGTAGTAAGTAAATTATATTGGTTCATTTTTTACACCGCTGGAAAACCGTTGGGCCTCTGGAGGAGTTTTGTCAGCTAGGGCTTGGAAACTACGAATTTATAACAGAAGGTTTGTGTTAAACTGAGAGTGTGGAGTTTGAAAGATGTGGCTGTTTACCAGTCAGGTTCCAAGTCAAGGCAGGTAAGTCCCAAGTGAAGATTAACAAGTGCAAAGTCCAAGTCCTAAAGAAGTTCTAATATCAGTCAGGAAAATGAAGAGCTGCTCATGTTTCTAAAACAAATTTTGAATCTTTGGGCTTGGAGATGATATCACGTTATTCCAGGCTGAAGTCAAAGTGATGTTGAGTGGTTCGTCTTCTTCTGACAAGTTCAGTTTAAAGTCCATAGTCCACTTTCTAAAGACCTTCAGGCACAAAACTATTATCTTCTTCCTCCTGTAGAAACAAAAGTTTACCCTCAGTCCCTTCGTAGCAAATGGCCTTGTGTAAATCATCCTCTTCATACTGTAGATGTGTTAAACGTTAAAATGAGAATATGTTATAACAGGGAATCAGCTACTTGGTCTGTAAAGCTCTTAAGTTGTCTTGGTTAGCAGTTCAACAGTGCAGCCTCAACCCACCTGAACTGTGCAATGACTAAGAAGTTCATCCATCCCAAGTGATAGGCCTGTACGATGTGAATATTTTGGAAAGACGTGTATTACTGTATGAGTCCTTTCAATGACACGCATGGATACAGACAAGTCTTTGTTCTTGAACAGAGACCGGACTGGAAACTTGGTTTTGAGAGCCAAAAACTAACCAAGTCATCACTGAGTCACTTGTGTTGTTCAATAATCCTCTCAGCCCCCTGTTAGTCATACAGCCATAAAAACCTGATTTAAAGCTGCACTAATCAATATCTTTATATGAACAATGGAACAGACAACTATGTGTAATGTGACAGGGGTCACTTACGGAGAATAACCACCTGACTCTGCTGTTCCCCTACTAGGGTTTTTAGCTTCTTTGAGCTCATTGTTTCGGTTGTATATCTTTTTGTTTTAGTTCACTCTCACGGCTCAGATCAACCTGTTTCCAGCTGTAGCAGGCAGCTGTTTTCAGTGGAAAAGCTCTGACAAATCCACTGTATACTCCCTGCTCGGCATAAAACAGCAGACAGACAGCTAGCAGCTAGCTGGTGAACAGGGGCAGATCAAGAGGGGTGGCATGAACTGGCAGCTGCCACCCCTACGAATGTCCTGGCCACCCAGCTGCCACCCCAGTTTCTTGTCAAATGCTATCAAATTTAACACATTAATTTCTATTAATTTTAAAAGAAACATGAAAAATGGAAATTATTGAGTGATCTGTTATGGCCACATTTTAAGTGATAGGTTTGAATTCAATGAAAAAAGATGTGTGTTTGGAAAAATGTCTGAAGATTTGGAAATAAAACAATGTATTGATTTCCAATGTCACATTTAGATCAGAGCTAAAAAAGAGTGAATATTGGACACTTCATTAGGTGGACACAAACGAGACTCCAAATGAATGGTAATGATGCTCTGAGCCAGCAGGATGTGTTAACAATTGTTGCAATCAAAATTAAATAGTTATCAAAAAACTTTTGTTGGAGCAATAGCTAGCTTGATTTGGTGGCACAATTAAAAATGTTACTTTCCTAGGCCTAACAACTTGCAATTGTTATTTAAACCTTTTTATCATATTGTATGTCACACTTTGCAACTTAAATTAAAATGTTGATTTTAAGTTTGACCCAGATCATTACGGCATCTTCCACCCACTTGAGGGAGCTGTTTATTAGATATAGTCAACCTTATCAGTATTTGCTAAGACATGATGATAATCATGCTGTAAGGGGAAGCTGTGGGCCTTCGCTCTGTAATAGTTTTACAAACACTTTAAATATCCTGACCAGCTAAGATGAAACATCTGGAACGCCAATATATAGATTTTGAACACAAGGCCACGCAAAACAACACACTGGTTGGAAGCCAAACAAATGAGTCACAGTAAGAGTTCAAATTGTCAGCAGCGTGGTAATGCCAATTCCAGGTACAGGGCCGCCTAAAAGTCTTCAAACATCTTCTGTCTAGCTAGCAGTTCAAAGATATTTCATTTACAATGATATAAAGCAGCAACTCCTCACACTTGAGCTGGAACCAGAGAATTCTGGGCATGTGTGCTTGATAATGTCAGTTCATACTCTGTTAGTTGAAATTTTTTTCAGCACTAAATTACATTGTTTCAATCTCAAAAAGGGACTTTAATGTAGATGGTTATGTACATATATATGGTTAGTAGCAGAGTGTCAGTGTTGCTTTTGTAACCAGCACATTTTTCATAGAATGATTTTCTGAGATGCTTTAAGTCTAGTTGGTTTGATTGCCGGACTCCTGCCAACACACAGCAGCAAGCCAATCAGTGCCCCAGCTGCTGCTCCCAGGGGTGGGACTTCAGCTAATGTTTTGGGACAGTTGTCTTTAGACGGATTCAAACACAAAATGGGCAGTGTAGATGTTAATACAAGAAACAATAGAAAAACAAAGTTACATTTTAAAAGACGCCATTTATATTTAATGCGAATTTTATTCATAACAGTTTTTTATTGGTTATTTTTTTAATTGATTATAATAAAATACTAGACTAAAATTATTGTGGGCATTTGAACATTTCATGCTCCAAATTACATTTGAGGGTCACTCCTAGGGCACCCCTTATAGTCTCCCAGGGTTCATGTGGGAGGCAAACACATACCATCTGTATACTGTATGTTAGTGTTCATGCTTCTTGCATTTTGATCATACATGACACCATATCTTCTCTCTACGTTACGTGAAAACACAACTGTTACTTATATTTCCACATCTGTTACTGACATTACGAGGTTTCCTTCACAGAATAAAAGAAAGGGACGAGAGAGTTGGATTTTCTGCAAGTTTATTTCAGTATAAGTGGTTTTTAAAACACCTCACACTGCTTCTCCAGACATCTCATTATACTTGCAACCTCCAAGATAAGCAAGCAAGACATTAACATCTTCAAACATGGCCAAGTCCAACATGATCAAACTGTGCCCAACGACATTTCAAAGCAAACTATCTGACGAGAGTCGACATTAAGACAAGTGGGGAGCAAACGGTCACATAATAACCAATAATTATACTTTGTACATGTGTAAAACCTGACTAAAAAGAGAGTGAGAGGCTGACTCACAGCAGCCGACACAGAAAGGAGCAGTGATCTGACAAAATGCCCTAGCAGTAACTCTTCATCCTCCTTAGCCTCGTGTACGGGTGTGACTGTGTGTATGCATGCATGTGCACTTGTGTTCTATCATACAAACAGTACATTACATAGAAACCCAATGTGTTCTAATAAGGCATTATGTGGCAAAACAGAACATTAGAAAACAGAGCAAAAAAAAAAAAAAAACAACAAAAAACAGCATAAATGCCAGAAAATCTGTTTTTTAAGGCCAAGAAAACAGAACAAAGTATGTCATGAACAGGGCGAGGAGCTGCGTTCAATCAAGCTTAAGTTTCGAGGAAACCTTATATGTCAGTACAGACACCGTTTAACAATCTGGGGAATAAAGAGATGATGAAAGTAATGCGATGCAGGAAATATCTGGGCTCTATCTGACAAAAATGCTTTGTTGCTCGGGGGTTAGTAAATTGGGCTTGTGTTGAAACAGCTAAGGTTTGTCTGCAGAAGCCAGTCTACAGAGTAACGACAAAAAAGTTTGTTGTCCACAGTGGGATGGGTTACTAATTCACTGTAGCGAGGGCAAAAACCAGAGAGTGCATTAACTTCACAGGCGGTGATAGTAGCATAATGAGCTGGGACAGTACCATAAAAAGTACAGATATAAAATACATTCATGAAGACATCTTTACAAACAAAACAAGAACAAGGTCAATAGAAAGCAGAACACCATCAGTTCAAATGGCTCAAGCCGAGAGGCAAAACACAAATATCAGTTAATGGACTACAGTACAGACTCAGGTGAGGAGGGGGAGGGGGGCAGGAGCAGAACAAAGACGATGACTCCCAAAAATCAATTTTTGTGTTGAAACATTTACAGACGTGCAACACTTAAGATTCTATACAGAGAGACGATATCAACTGGTACTAAAGATTGGTCTCACCGTACTTAAAGGAAGCATCCAAATGGCAAAAACACGTGTTTCGTCGCATCGTAGTTTCTAGCCATGCAGTTGGATTAAAAATTTCATTTGTGGTTCCCACAGCTTGACAAGATCCCATTTTAAATTCTCTTTCCAGAAACAGTGTCCCTGTTAACCCTGTTTTGCTAACTGGATAACAAGCTAGCGTGGTTGCCTGTTGAGGCTGTCTAGTGCTAGCATGTTAACAGCTAGCTAGCATAACGCTGGTTAGCTTGCCAGCCCGCAAATAGCTTGCCAACTAGCCCCACATTAATATTAAAAAACTTCCACTGAACTGCCCCCTATTTCTTGAGGATATGTAAATGAATTGAGACACTTTCTGGTGTGATCGGGTGCTTACTTTGGATAAAACAGATAAACCACAGTGTCAATAGAGCTACTAGTTTTCATTAGAAAGTATTCCAGTGAAAATCAATGTATAGTAGCAAGCACACTGTTTCTGCAAAGACATGCTGCAGTTAAAATCACACAAATAATGTAAAAACCTAAGAAAATATAAACAAAACTATCTGCATTACTAGATACTACAGTCAGTTCAGACATGTTTTTTTGTGACTGTTTGAATTAACCCTTTAAATCTTTTTCTAAACCAGATGGTGAGGCTGACTCTTCATCACAACTACTGACAATAATCTGCATCTGCCAGTCATCCCACACACAGCTGATCCAGTACCCTTTCAAAAGGTTTCTTTACCTATTCAACAGTATATGGACAGTGCTGCCTAAGCCATGGTGGTGATGGTGGTGCTGCGCTGGTGTCCACTCCGACACAGTTCCCTGAGAACCCACTTCCTCTACGACTACAGCTATGGCAAAATGCTGGGGACGATAATTTGTGGCCCTGAACGTTGAAAAAAAGAAAAAATACACATTTTACAAAATGATATGGTGCAGCATTACAATGAAAGGACATATTAAAAGCCAATATTTACAAATAGTTCTGATGATCTTAACAGTGCTGTGAGGGATTCTCTCCCACTCACAGCCAGGAATATTCTCCTATCATGGTACATGTGTTGCCACTACATACAGACATACAACAGTGTGCTGGTGGTGGAAAATAAAGGTGTATCTATGAGAACACTGCATGGTGCCACTGGTAAATCAAATCACTGTGCTGTTTGGTTGCGCTGCGAGTTTTAAAAAACGTTGTTAATGCGTTTATAACAATCAACAGTTTCTAAACTGCTGATCATTCAAATAGACAAACATTTCAGATTCTATAAATGATGGAACATGATACACAGTTAATTCTTCCAACTGCCTCGCACTGGCCACCAGTTACATGTACCGCTATAGTACACACTGTACTATCACCAAAATATGTAACAATTACTGCTCCGATATTTTCTATTTGTATATATTGTATACAGCATTTGTCTATATATTTGTATTTTTTTTTTTTTTAATGTGTAATTTCTGCATTCTATATTCCAGTCTCTGGATGCCTTTTTTGGCTTTAAGCAATGAACCGCTCCTATGGATAGTGAGTTTGCATTACAAACAGGGTCTCTCTTTCCCTGGCACGCTCGACAAACTCAAATCCTTCACAGTTTGCTTCAGTGTCCACCTCTTCCTCACAGTCCTTTTTTGACCCCATATATATATATTTAATATTATAAAAAATAAGTTATTGCGCATCCAAAAAAAGTGCATTGTATATTTGAAAAATATCTCTTTCTCTCTTTTCCATTTTTCTTCATGTTTCCTGCTCATCTGGGTTGTTTCCCATCGACAGATTTGGGATGGCGGCGAAGTTTCTGCCTGTTTTCCTCTTCACTCCATCGTACCACGCCACTGATGGGGGAGTGATGGGGAGTAAAAGGGGAGTGGGGGCAGAAGAAGAGAGGGGGAGAAGAGAAGAGAGAAACAGGTAATAGAGGGACGTCTTGCTACGCAATAACCATGGGAACGTCGTCTGAGAAGCCGCTGATCATGGGAGCATCTTCATCATCATCACCTTGAGAGGAAGAGAGGGAGAAAAGAAGAAGGAATGTTTAAGAAAATATCTTTGCTGTTAAAGCTAATCAGTATTTTTCTATAAATAATTGGGGATGCACAAAATGATCTAAAGACTTTTTTTCAGTTCAGTTTTCAGTCATAGTTTGCTTAAGTCTGGGCAACAAAACCACTTCTGCTCGGAAAGAGGTAAACTTAAGCATAAAAAGTACATTTCTGCAGTATGTAAACTGTCTTGAATCATAAGCCATTTGTCTTTCTCTACTTTAAGACAGCAACAGTTCTGATAGGTGCATCCATACAACACATCTCAACTCCTTATAATCACTTCTTGCTTTTCTTCCCAATTATTTTTTGCCATTCCCCTGTTGGTGGACCATGTGCCTCCTCCAATTTGCATCGGAACATGCCTTTTACACCCGTCAGTGACAGCTCCCTTAGAATCCCCACCTTCGACACTTTACAGCCACCCCGACCAATCCCTGGGAGTTGCCAATGCAGATCACCCGCAATTGTGTAAATTGCACTCCCTGAAGCAGCCAATCAAAGTACCGCCACCAGGTACTGAACCCCAATGATCTCTGCAGTGTCAGGCCACAGCGTCAAAACTATCTGTATTGTCTCACCCAGTTCATCCCCGGAGGAGAAGATCGCAGAGCCCAGGCGGGAGTTATAATGGGAGTTTGCGAAGGCAGTAAAATTGTTCTGCAGCCGGCGGTGTCGGAGGTAGAGCACCACCAAGCCACCGCACACTCCGAGCAGCAGCAGGAAGAGGACAGGGACCACCACCGCCGCCATGTCTCCTGAGTGGCCCTCAGCACGGGAGGCATCGCTGGCCCCTGGAGAGGTGGGAAAGTGACAAGTACAGTATAAATGGAAAAGCAAGTCTGTGTTTTCTTTAGGATTTATCATCATTACAGCAAGGATTCCCAACCAGGGGTACACCTCTGCAGTTGCCAGAGGTGTACCCCCAGAGTAACTCATTTGAATAAATTGAAATGATATAATTTAATTAAAAATATATGTCAACATATTGAGTCAGCTGTAACACCTGAACAGCAGATGTGCATGGAAACTAATAAGTAAGAAGAAGTGTAAAAGTCATCAATGGTTGAAATAGCTGAAAGTAGGAGATAAAGAAAAAATAAGAAAGTTAGCTAAAAACGGATAAATGGCTGAAACATTCAGCTTGTGCCACAAGTAGTGCAAATGTTAAACAAACCAAAACACCTAAAGTTTAACTGTATGAAAATAAATATTGTATTATTATTGAGTATAATCAATAGTGTTAAATACCATCTAGTTTAAAATCAATTGAAATTAACAGATTTAGAACGATTGGTGGTGTTGATGAAGGGGTACTTGAGTTCATCTGACAAGACTGTGGGCTACATTTGAAAAATAAAAACGTTCCACTACCTGCTGTCAGCTGGTTATATAGCAGGAGTGCAGGTTCCCCACACAGCTGGCCGTTGAGCAGGCAGCGGGCCTGCACAGAGAAAGTGTAGTTGTGTCCAACCAGCAGGCTGCTGATGCGGAAATAGGTCTCTGTGGTGTTTCCCAGGTAGGACGTCTGGTTGGTCACACTGTCATACACATGCACCTCATACCCCTATAGACAGCATAGAGAAGTTGATGGAAGAGCAAAAACCACACACTTACAAAAGATGCTTCTTTTGGACTGTTTGTTTCTACTGCTGTGCTTGCTGACTAGATCTTGCCATTTTTATATATAATAATAATATAATATTATATAATAATATCATATAATCGCCCCAAATCCTCCTCGTAATCTGTTACAGCACACCAAGTAAACACGACGTCCCTGGTTTGACGTGGACTATCACACGCTGTTCCCCATTCCTCCGTTTTCCCTCACTGTCTATTAATCAATGAACACTTCCTAAGTCCCTCCCCTTTTTTCTCTGTGCTCCAATAACAGTCAGAGGCTCACTCAACTGTCTCCTCTCCTGTACTTAGATATGCTTTATGCTAGGCTAATCTATGTTGAAAAGAAACCACGCTTTGCAGATGGCTAAAAGATGAAACATGCATACAGTATAGTCACACCTTAAGTTAGCTAATGTTAGCTAGCTAACTCACATCAATTGTTAGCTAGCTAACTAGCTTCCATTTTGCTAACATTAGCTATTAGATGTAACTAGCTAGCTAACAATTAATGTAGATTTACTAGCTAGTTAGTGTTTTACTCTGTAGCAAAATACTAGCTAACAAGCTAACCAGCTTACTTGCCAGTTAACAACTGATGTAGATTAGCTAGCTAGTTAGCTAGAGTTTTGCTAACATTAGCTAACTAAAGATGCCTATCTAAGTACAGGAAAGAAGAAAGTTAACTGAGGTTCTGACCGAGGCTTGCTCAGCTGCTGGAGCACAAAGGCGTGGGGTCTTATAGACAAGTACAGTAGTAGATACTCATATTGAAGCAAAGATATTGGTCAGTGGCGTCTCACCCTGCTCTCATTGAAGCCCTTCTCTCTGACAGCCAAGCTCTTCCAGAAGAGGAACACGTGGTCTTTTTCTGTCAAAATCTTCACAGCTTCAGGAGCTGGAAGAGGAACTGCAGCAGAGGGAGAATATTTTTTTTATATTTTTTAAGCAATATATTTCTTTGTACATGTATAGCTTATATAAAGTGACAGGTCATACTTCATTATGTTGGAGCTTAATCTCTTAGCACTGAAAGCCCTGAGCCTGCACCACACTCACAAACACAGACAGTGCCATGGAATGTGTTGTTTTATACACAATCCTAACCAGATGTATGAATTTGCACACAGTGAAACAGGATTTTCAGGATTATTTTCATTTCAATTGTATCAATTTATGTATTTTCTCTCCTTAAAATGTTACAAAATAAGCATATTGCTTGTCACGAGCTCCCAGAGGACAAGGTGTCAGCTCTCTATTGCTTCATTTATCGGAACAGGGATCGGTAAAAACTGTAAATCCGAACAGACACAGAAAATCTGGAACCTACAAATCTTTACTTAATTACTTACATTTCTTAGTTTATTTGCTGCCAATTAATTCTCTGTTGATTGACTAATCACTTGACAGTTGGCTTTACCCACTGTACAGCAGCTGTCCGAACATAGCTAAGCAACTGTCATTAAGCATAGCGTGCCTGCCAAGTTTTAGATTTCTCCACATGCTAGTATTGTAGAGTAGTAAGGCTGATAAATAGTATCTCAAGATTTTGGAGGTCTTTTTTAATTTTCCTTCCAAAACCAAAAACATATTAAATATGTAGGACTGTTAAAAAAACAAAATAACCACCTAATCTTTTATGAATATTCACAGGAAATAAGTTGCTTAGAAATCATCCATAGTGCTCAGTTCACTGTTTGGGTTCATTGTACAGTTTATCAGTTGTTCTCTACTGTTATTGTAATTCATTGAATATAATATAAAACCCATAAAATACTTAGTCAGGGGTTGTCAGTTGACAGAAAAGGGGTGACTGGACTTGTGATGCACACACACAGCTTGTATCCAGTGAGTGTACCTGTGCTGAGGGTGAAGCTGGCCTCCTTGGTCATGTTGCGCAGGCGGACAGAGACGCTGTATCTTCCGCCTGGCTCCAGGTCTTTCAGCAGGTACTCCACTGTGTTGTTCTTAGTTGTCAGCTTGTAGTCCCGCTCCACCTTACGGATCACGTCCCGCACGTGGATCGCATACGTCTACAGATACGCAGACAGCCAGGGAGAGGACAGGAAGACACAAAAACAAAAACAGATACGGTTACAAAACAAGTTCCCAGTCTTTTCAAGAAATCATTTCCAAGAACTTTTCCAGGACATTTTCCAGGAGCTTTTCTTGACAATACAGAACAGCACTTGCTTATAAATGGTGGTAGATGGTCAGCGTTTATGGGACACTCCGCATTAGCTTGCTTTTGTGGCTTGGCTGTTCTCACCACAGCTGATTCTTCCGCTTTCTGAATTGATTAAAGTTTTCCTCTAAGCACAACATTATTTTAAACCACATGCAGGCTAAAATGCAATTAACATTTTCCCAGACAAAATAGATTTTTCCAGGATATTTGGCCATTTTAATGAATCTCCAGGTTTTTCCATGACTGGAAAACTAGTCTCTAAATTTCCAGGTTTTCCAGGATGTGTGAGAACTTGGTGGGAACCCTGTTGTGTATCATCAGAGTTGGGTAAAGTCGGGTACATAGAAACACAATTTGAAATATTCAGTCTAGTATTACAGAGGTATTGATACAAATTATAAAGTCTATACAGAGTGACAAATAATTATATTATGTATTCCTGAGAACCTTTCGAATAAACAAATAAATCAGATTTAAAACCTGATTAGTTTCCCATGAAATGTCCTGCTCTGGATTAAAGGCACCTGCCAGCACAGGTGTAAACATCAAGATTTGCCTAACTGATTCTAAGGAGAAAAGAATGCAGTCCTTCTCTTGTTTATCGTTTATCCTGATTCTTAACATCATGTATCAATATCACAGTAACATGACAGTGTCGTACCAGAGGTGAGTTCGGGGCGTCGTAGGGCGGCTGCCACTTCAGCATGGCCTGTGTCTTGTCTGCTCGCACGCGATGGAGGTTCCTGGGCGGCAGCCTCTCGTTGGGAATCATTTTCACCACAGCATAGTCCGAGGGAGGACCCAGGAAGGGAGTGACGGCTCGGACCTGAATGCAGACCACAAAAATGACATGTCATGGCGGCTCCGGACCACAAAATGTCATAAAAAAGTCATACAGTGATGGAACAGGCCAACATTACAATTTGTTGACATAATTGGGTAATTATTGACCAACAGAATGTCTACTTCCACTACTAACATGATGTCTGTTTATATAATTTAATTATTACTACACTGGCTGTCTATGTGAGGCAAATTAATATACATATGTCAGACATGATGATCTATAAAAATTACAGATGTAATCACTGATTTTCATCCATATCAGTGAAAAGTGCCTTGGCGGCTGCATTTAGGGGGGGTGGTCAAGCTATACCCTACCTGTGCGATACCCATGTAATACGTACATTTTCAGCATTGCCATGTTGTGCCACGATTTCTAGAGCATGTTGTGGGCACAAAAATGCAATTAACTGGGGAATAAATAATTCCTTCAGTTTCAATAGGGCCTTAATAATCTTGCGGGCTGGGTTGTATTATATTTTTCACATCTTAATCACTTGCCGGAGGGAGGGGGATGGAGGGCAGTTTGAGATCCCTGCCCTAGTTTGAATACAGTGTACCTGCGGTTAAACACGCTAAAGTGGTTGAATTTAAAGTCATTCTTCAATCATTCATGTCACTTTGATCAACTCCCACAGCAGCTCACACAGCAGACAGATCACACTTCCCATTTGCACCTGCATTCCTCAAATTTTACACTGAATAATTTCCACTTCTGCTGCTCTGACTTTCTTTTTTAAGGAGGAAAGATTGGTAATTTAACCCTCCTTTTTCCCCTACACGTTATCTTCACAAAGACATTTCTGCTGGAAGAAATTTGGCTTTTTAGTGTGAAAACACTGAGGGATAAGCTGAAAGATGTGACTGGTTTCACTAGAGACATTTGGGGGTTCAGACATCTGCCCAAACGTCTCTTCAGAATTAACACTGGATTGATTTAAGTACACATGGGTAAAAAACTTCACTTAAACAGAAGTAATGGTGCAGTGTTCAACATCAGCAAATACTCAATCATATAATATATAATTCAGGACAAACAAAGACGTGGATCAGGCTCTTGATGGTGAAATGGTTGGTAAAGAGTTTAGAGCGGGCCTGGCCAACCCGCGGCTCCCGAGCCGCATGCGGCTCTTTGCCTGGTTTCATGCGGCTCTTAT